TTTAAAGGACTAACTTGAGTTCATAGAAGTTAATAATAATGAAGCTTTTAAGTTATAACATTAGGTCCACTTAATATGAATTCCTTTTTGATAGAGAACCTACAATTTGAATTTTATGTATGTGACAGAAAGGGCTGTGATTTAAGTTGCTCTGAGTTTGCTGTTATTTCCCACGTTGTCCAGCATATATGGGAAAGTAAAGAAATACACCATTTTTAACCTTGTTCAGGCTATCTGTGGTTGTTTTAAAATTTGATGAATAAATAAATAAAACCCCCTTTTTATTTTGATTCCTTTCCTCAAAATAACTACAACAGGTCTCTTTGATTACAAGAAGAAAAACTTCCTTTCATCAACTTCCTGGCTATTTTATGATAATATGTTGAACCAATGTTCTTCTAGTGAATTATGGCTGTGTGGGTGCAACCTTTGCTTTAGATATTTTGCTGAACTTTGGATGAACACACATATGGATACAGATAAAGATCAGAACCTAAATGATAATTCCTACTTTACTTGGCAGTAGCTGCTTATTATTGTTGTTGATGATGATGTTGATGTTATCGTTAATTTTTTGCTCAGTTTGCGTGTATCTGCATGTGTGGGCATAGACATGCCTCAAGTCAGTTTTTGACATCTGGTAACTGTCTGAACAAGTCTCTGCAGTTTTCTTGGCAACTTTTTCAGAAGTGGTTTTACTACTGCCTGCTTGCTAGGGCTGAGGGAGAGTGGACGGCCCAAAGTTAACCACGAAGTTCCCTTGTGACTTTTTGTTATTTTTCCTTCAGTCTGAAAATTAAAAAAAATGTACATGTGCTTATATTTTAGTCAGTGAAGAACTACACCAAATGTCATGTGAGAAATGAACAGATATGTAATAAGTTGACTAGTTGCAAAAGCTGTTCACTAAACCTCAATTGCCAGTGGGATCAGCGACAGCAAGAATGTCAAGCTTTACCAGGTAAAAAGAAAAAAAGTATTTCAAAATAATATTTTAATAATGAATATTTAATAACACATACTCTTAAAGAAATTATCTAATCAAAGCTATTAAAGAAAGAGTGGGCCACTCAGATCAGGAATTCAGGTTATTTTCAATTTGACAAAGACAACTGTAATATTAAGTATTCAGTGTAATCAGTACAATAATAACAACAATGTGTGTGTGTGTGTGTGTGTTTTGTGTGGTGTGTGTGTGATTTATATTGCTTTAGTCATAGCATAAATTATGCCATTTGTTTATAAATGTAAATGATGTAAATTTCTCCAAGTAAGGTCATCATAACTTTTTTTGGGGTTTACTTTTTTATTTGCTGCTTTGAATGCAATGAACATAGCTCCTGCTTTTGGATGTTTAGACAAATATTTTGTCTCTTGCATCCAAAGTCAGATAAATGGGATTCCATTAAATCAAAGTTTCATTATATTTGATTCAAATGTAGCTATATATTTCTGGATAACACTTCAGTAAGTTCCAAAACACCCATTGCTAATTGAAAATCCTTATTAATCACCTGATATTCTGGCAACCCTAACCCATTTTATTGTTATTATTATAGTTTTACTCTAGTCACTATTTTAGTACACTTACTAAGAACCTCAAAAAGGACTTTATTTTTTGTCCAAAATAAAAAAGTGAGAAAAACATAATAGACTTTAAAATGTAACACAAATGTGATGCAGAAATACTAATACTAAGTTTTGTGCTCTCTAAGGTAACTGAAACCCAGGAAAAAAGAGTAGGACTGAAGGTTGGGACCAATAGAAAAATGATTATGTAATGTTACGATTTAGTTTAATTTTGTAGGCCCTATGAACTTTATCCTAGCTTATTGGAAGAAGAAGCTGAAATGTTTGAGAAATTATAAACATTGATTTAGTACAACTTTATTGGAAGCGAGCAGGTGTTTTTGTTTTCGAAGAGAAGTATACTGAAGAGCTATGGATATTCTGATATCAACGTTAGACTAGATCATAAAAAGCTTGATCTCTAAGCACGTTGAACATATTGCAGTAATTAGCAAGTGTGGACCCTCATATATATCTATATCTATCTATCTATCTATCTATCTATCTATCTATCTATCTATCTATCTATCTATCTATCTATCTATC